AAGCTTTGCTACTTTCTTCTGGGTGTGGAATACAAAATGCAAGGTCTTAACTTTCCTTGTATAATGTCTCACTCCTTGGCCTCTAGTAATAGACGGGGGGGGGGGGGGACAGGAGGTGAAGCGCTGCCAAAAAAATGCAAATACTTCTATGTGTGATTTGTGGATGTTTTCTTTTTGCCCAACATGAGATGTATATATTTTTCTCTACAAATTAATCCCTAGACTCACAGTTTATAGCATCTTTTCTATCTAGCTACATATATACTAGGTCACATGTACTACTTCGTGTTTGTATCTCCGAGAGTAAGACAAGCTCGGTTTTGTACGTCTATATTATCTAAAAAAATCATGGATCAATTATGCATGTTTTATTACACAGCAAAATGCAAAGGCACAAATATTCCAAGAGTTTAGAAAGCGTACATTATAATATTGTTAGCATCAACTAGTCGATGCATGATTGCATGGCAACTATAAAGTATGGTTACAGGAACGAGAACGAATGTGTGATCTACACACATATATAGATATTATAAGGAAAAGCTAGCTACGGAGGTGTAAAGTAGCTAGGATATACAGTATTAGTATAGTTTGCATCGGGACAGCAGAAAAGCGTCAACGGATCCACACCATCGATGCCAGAAAACAACTTGTTCTTATATGCATGAGATTCGTTACTCGTACATTATTCGTTGTGTCAGGCACATGCAGAGACCCCATGCCACCTACCAATGCGCGTATTTGATTAGGATATATAAACAGTAAACACAACGTGCTCATTCGATTATATTCACATATTCACTTTTACACCATGAGAAGTTTCCTAGATAGCAGGGCATCATCATCTTAAAGCCTTTGAGAGTGCTTATAAATAGCTCCCCTTAGTCATACCAAGTCACAACAACCTCATCAGAAATAGCACACACACACAGTGTGTGTAGTTCAACACACACACACACACACACACACACACACCTGCATAGTGCATATTGTTAGAACTTTTAGAGCTAGCTAGATTTGTTTGCAGGGAACAGGGATCGATCGACCGTACCGCCATGGGGTATGGGCTTGTTGCCATGAAGGTTCTTGTTCTGAGCAGCATGGTGCTCAGCGTCGTCGTCGCCAGCGGCGTAGAACTGCCGGTGCAGCGGCGGCGGGTGCCGGCGATGTACGTGTTCGGGGACTCCACCCTGGACGTGGGCAACAACAACCACTTGGAAGGGGAGCAAGTCCCCAGGGCCAACAAGCCCTACTACGGCATCGACTTGCCGGGCTCCGGCAAGCCCACCGGAAGGTTCAGCAATGGCTACAATGTCGCAGACTTTGTTGGTAATATACATTCGCTTTCTGAGTCTAGACTTCTGATGATTACCATTAAGTATACCATGCATACTAGCAGGGGTAAAACTTTGGCAGGATATATAGACGACGATTATATAGTACTATGAATGTTTTAGCTTATTAATTAGCTTGTGTAATAGGGTAATAGAACCCCTTTTAATTCGTGGATACATGTGCTTGCATACATATGCAGCGAAGAATCTTGGATTCGAGAAGAGCCCTCTGGCTTACATGGTGCTCAAAGCGCGCAATTATCTGATCCCGAGCGCCATCACTAGAGGAGTAAGCTACGCATCGGCAGGAGCTGGGATCCTCGACTCCACTGTAAGTCACCACTCCCTATTTATTTCTGAAAAAAAAAAACTGTGTGTTGTGTTTAGTTTCATCTACAATCTACGATGTGTAATAAATAAATTAAGAAACTATTATTACTGACAACAAGCTGAATAATGCATGAATCATGATTGGACAAAGATATCATTAGCCGAAGGAGCTACTGCTAACCACTCCGCTCCACTAGTAATGTGACTGTGACGTGCATGCATGTGCCATATGCAGAATGCAGGAGGCAACATTCCACTGTCGCAGCAGGTGCGGCTCTTCGAGTCCACCAAGGCCGCGATGGAGTCCAAGGTGGGCCCGCGCGCCGTGAGCCAGCTCCTCTCCAAGTCCTTCTTCCTCATCGGCGTCGGTAGCAACGACTTCTTCGCCTTCGCCACGGCGCTAGCGAAGCAGAACAAGACTGCGGCGACGCAGAGCGACCTCGCCGCCTTCTACGGCAGCCTCATCTCCAACTACTCCTCCGCCATCACGGAGCTCTACAAGCTGGGCGCCAGGAAGTTCGGCATCATCAACGTGGGCACGGTCGGGTGCGTGCCGATCGTGCGCGTGCTCAACGCCACAGGCGGGTGCGCCGACGGCCTGAACCAGCTCGCCGCCGGCTTCGACGGTTTCCTCAACTCCCTCCTGGCCGGGCTCGCCCCGAAGCTGCCGGGCCTCGCCTACTCCATTGCCGACTCCTTCGGCTTTGCCGCGCGCACCGACCCGCTGTCGCTAGGGTTCGTGAGCCAGGATAGCGCGTGCTGCGGCGGCGGCCGGCTCGGTGCGGAGGCGGACTGCCTGCCTGGCGCCAAGCTCTGCGCCGACCGTGACCGCTTCCTCTTCTGGGACCGCGTGCACCCTTCCCAGCGCGCTGCCATGCTCAGCGCCCAGGCCTACTATGATGGCCCGGCGGAGTTCACCGCTCCCATCAACTTTAAGCAGCTGGCTGACAAGAGCTAAGTTAGCTGATTTCTCAAAGCCAGCCACATTGAGTATTTTGCTCACTGTTATAAGTAATTACGGGTACATGCTCAGATGGTTTTTTTTTTTGTGGTATTTGTTAGTCACATTTAATTTCCCAATAGCAACGGGGTGGATTGGATCGTGGTTCAGAATAATTCATTGGGCAAGTCTGAAGTCTGTGAAGAGTTTTGTACACTCAATAAGTTAGTGTAATTAATTTATTTGTAAGGATGGTCGGCTCTTCAGACGACAGTGGTTTATCATGGAATCAACAACAAAACATTGTTTACATTACCAAAAAGAAACCCCATATATATCAAGTAGATATCGTATCTCATTTTTTCATTTGTTCTGGGATAACCAAAATATACTGTATATGATATCAAAGAGCATGGAGATAAAGTAGAGCGATTCAAAATCATCATATTCAAAGCGAAAGACTAGACACCTTTTTAAGACTAATTATTGAGAAGGAGAATCAATCCGCTGGTCTTCTTCGCGCTCATCTCATTCTTCCCCATTCCATACTTTCTTGTCCCTGAATAAATTAATTCCAAGAATTACATTAAGTTATTTTTTATGTGTGGATTTATAGAGAAGTGCATAAATACTTATGGCACCAAATAAGCAAATTATGAAAATATATTTTATAGAGTATCTAATGATATTAATTTGGTGTCTTAAATGTTTGTTGCTATTTTCTATAAACTTAGTCAAATTTAAAATATTTGACTTAAGAACTTTAGAAATTGATTTATTAAGAGAAGAAGGGAGTATTTACATTCCAATCCCTACTTCCTAAGTGCATGCAAAATCGTCGTTCCGAAATTAAAAAACATGCAACATTGCCTCCTCCCCATGACCCTTTCTCATGGTTCCATGACGTTGTAGGCTCCCAGTGGCGATGGAGCTTAATTGATGATAATTCAAGAGGGGGACAAATTTAGTGACTAATAATTTGGAACGAAGGGAGTAACTAGCAATGGGCAGAGTATAGTAGCCTAGAAGACACCAAGGATAGAAGCCATGGAGAGATTGGAGCAAAAGCATAATGGAAGACCTCCAAGATAGAGAAGAAAGCACTATGGGGAAACAATGGAACAAAGACAATGGCTGCAAGAGATGGTAAATGGTGAAAATGCAGACGTGTTGTGATGTTTGATACCATGAATTCAAACTATTTTTTGCTTATTTCATTTGTCTCAAGAGAAATTTTATAATGGTTGGAAAAATATGGACCATCCATAGAGAAAAATAGAATGGTGGAAAAACAGGAGGTACCAATTTAAAAGTACATAGAGGTACCAAAATATGTGATTATAGTACCAAAATAGGTGGGGTCGGTACCAAAATAGGTGGGGCCAAAGTTAAACTTTTACTATTTAATTATATTCAATTAAAGATAAAGCAATAATTTTTTCCATCTTCACCAAGGGTAAAAGAGTTCTTCTCTCAAACATCATATATAGACACTACCACAGACCTGAATATCCTTGAGGGCCGAAAACCCTCAAGGAAAGCCCCAAAACCGCCAAGGAAATCAATACTGGCGGCTAGCACTCAAGGAATGACCGCCAAGGGTAGAGAGATAGGGAAATAGCTATTTCCTTGAGTGCCGGCCGTGACAAATCATTTCCTTGAGGGTTCAACCGCCAAGGAAATACTTAAGCAGTCAGATTTTTAACACCGCCAAGGAAAAGTAACAACACTCAAGGATATGCGTTTTCTTGAGGGTTAACGACCCCCAAGGAATATAGCTGGCCCCCAAGGATATATATTTTCTTGAGGGTTTGTTACCGCCAAGGTATTTGTTTGGCCCCCAAGGATATATATTTTATTGAGAGTTAGCATCGTCAAGGTAACACAAATAAACCGTCAAAACAATAGCTTTATCTGAGGGCTCACACCCTCAAGGAAATAGTAATTTCCTTTAGGGTTTCGACCCCCAAGGAATAATGTGTTTCCTTGGCAGCTAACCCTCAAGGTAATGCATGGCACAGGGGCTTAATTGGCCAAGAAAATATTGATCATTCATTATAAATGTAGACCAAAACAAATATCAGGATAGAGGCCACAATTAAACTAAACCAATGCTAGATTAGATAACACATCCAATATCCATTGGTTCATTACATGTCCATTTTGCAAATATAAGACTTAGGTAGATAGCAACAGTGTATCATCCTACATGTCAGCAGGATAGCAGCACATACACAAGGCAAATACTGCACACAATTCATGAGGCAATATTGCACTTAGCAAAAGATCAGCCTAATATCATCTTAGTTCCTACCAATCAATAAACCCAAAAGAAAGTCCACATCCCATTGTGTAGTCACTTGGAGTTGTTGGAATTAGTTTGTCTGCATGCATAGTCACTGCTTAGTAGAGCGGTGATCATCGTCGCTTTGGGAGGAGCTGCTATCATCACCATCTTCAAGACAGCCATCGTCATCATCGTCCTCAATGTGGTCATCATCATCGTCTTCATTGGAGTACTGGACATGATGGATGCCTTGATGGTAGCTGCAGTCATCATCATCGCTTTCATGGTAGCTGTAGTCATCATCGTCGTCTTCGTCATTAGCGTTGTCGTTGCTGCGCCTTTCATCAACAGAATGAGCCTCCATGTGACCCAGTAGCCTGCAAAAGGCAATATTGAAATATTTTTGTATAATTCTGGAACATAAAAGTTTGGTCTTCAATCTCTAAGCGCCTACTATAAAGTATCAAATAACAAAGGGCTATTTTGTTGTATTATTAAAACAACCTAGTAGATGAGAACCCTAAAAAATAGGCATCTGCCAATCAAAGCTTTTCTTCACTACCTTACCATGAACATAAAACCTAAAAATGGCATTGTTAATCAACAAGAATCCACTTGTTCACTGCTGCAACTCGTATTGGCATTCTGCCATGAAACAATATTAATTCTCTAGATGAATTGTGATCGAAATAAAGAATATGAATTGCACAAACAAATTCAATAAATAAAGTAACCTGATGACGACGGGCATCAAGGTCTTGTAGACGTTGAAGCAGTTCAGCAGGTGGTTCTACACCTATCCGATCAAACACACTCTGCAATTGAAAGTATCCAATTGAAATTGTATGCTTAGGACACAGTAATTGCATATACAATGGAAAAATTATTACTTTGAATAGCTCACGATGGATTCAATTTTCCTCAACGAGTATGTCATTATTCGTTTTCAATTGTGCATTTTCTTGTAGCACACTTTCATAATGATCAGGATCAGGTGGCCTAACAGATATAGATTTGGAATGTGCTAGAACAATTGCCTTATCCACAACACCATCACCTATTGGAACACGGCCATGCTTCATGCCACGTCCTATAGTGTACAATGCTCTTCCTTCCAGTTCTTGTGAATTTGCATCTAGAGCTAATGTCATGTACTCATCCTAACATAGAAACAGAAAAATGTATCAAAGGATGCCTCAATTCAGTTTACAGAACAAATGAAAGCATGTTGTGCGGAGCATACCAATCTTTTTTTGCTTTCAAGCTAGGGATTGGAGCACTCCTTCCAGTGCTATCCATTTTTTTAACTCCAGATTTCATTGCAGCAAATATGTTTATCCCACTCTATGGACGGCCAGATTTAAATTCCTATAAGATTAAAACCACAAATTATGCATGTGTCAGTTATAAGCAGCAAGCAGACATTGTAAGCTGAAAGCTCTAGTTTGGTTTTGGTGAATTGATGAAACCCTAAGTGCTAACCTAGTTTATCAAGTGATCATGAGATAGGTAGCACATTCCAAGTGGTGAAACAAATGAAGATCATGACATGATGATGGTGATGCCATGGTGATGATCAAGTGCTTGGACTTGAAAAAGAAGAAAGAGAAAAACAAAAGGCTCAAGGCAAATATATAAATTATAGGAGCCATTTTGTTTTGGTGATCGAGACACTTAGTGAGTGTGATCACATTTAGGATCGATAGCCGTACTATTAAGAGGGGTGAAACTCGTATCGGAATGCGGTTATCAAAGTGCCACTAGATGCTCTAACTCATTGCATATGCATTTATGATCTAGTGGAGTGCTAACACCCTTGAAAATATTTGTGAAAATATGCTAACACATGTGCACAAGGTGATACACTTGGTGGTTGGCACATTTGAGCAAGGGTTAGGAACTTCACCCGCGGAGTGTCTGCCCGTAGAGTGCGGACAGTCCGACAGTGCCACCGGTGCCCTATACAGAAAAGACGGAGGTCACTGGAAGTGACCGGACGCTGGCCTTGGTTGGACCGGCGTGTCTGGTCAGTAGAAACAGCAAAGACGCTGGCGTCGGTCTCTAACCGGATGCTGGAGGGTTGCATCAGGTCCTGCTGATGTGGCAGCGCACAAGGGAGTCGCCGAGTGACCGGACGCTGGGTGTGTCCGATCGAGCAAGTCGTCTCTGGATGTTTACTGTAAACGACCGTACGCTGGGGTTCAGCGTCCGATCACTTTGAGCTGCTGCGTCCGCTCGTCACTTGACCGTTGAGATCGGGCGATCAACATTTGAAGAGAAGGGACACGTGGCGTACATCGCGCGACCGGACACTGAGGTCCAGCGTCCGGTCAATATGATCGGAGCGTCCGGTCACCCCGTGTTGTGCCCAGTGAAAGGGTACAACGGCTCTATTTCGTGGGGGCTTCTATTTAAGCCCCATGGCCGGTTCAAGCTCACTCGCTTGGCCATTTGCATTGACATAGCAACTTTGTGAGCTTAGCTAAAGCTCTCCCACTCATTTTCATCATTGATTCATCATCTTTGTGAGATTGGGAGAGAATCCAAGTGCATTGCTTGAGTGTTTGCATCTAGAGGCACTTGGTGTTCATGTTTCGCTGCGGGATTCGCTTGTTACTCTTGGTGGTTGCCGCCACCTAGATGGCTTGGAGCAGCGAGGATCGTCGAGCGGAGGGTAGTGATTGTCTCCGGCTCCGATCGTGGTGATTGTGAGGGGTTCTTGACCTTTCCCCGGCAGAGAGCCAAAAGGTACTCTAGTGAATTGCTCATAGCTTGTGTGATCCTCATCTTGTGTTGGTTGTGCGGCACCCTATTGAGGGTTTAGCGTGTGATGCCAATTAGCGCGTGAACCTCCAAGTGAGTGAATCGCCACAACGAGGAGTAGCTTGCCGGCAAGCAAGTGAACCTCGGTAAAAAATCATTGTGTTAATCATTTGATTCCGAGGTGATTGGTCTTCATTGTTATTCATCCTTGAGATTGATTGGCTCCTTCCTCGACACGGCGGTATAACCTTCTTACTCACTCTCTTTACATTACCGTAAATTAGTTGTCAAGCTCTTTAGTGTAGCTAGTTGTGAGAGCTTGTTAGTTTGGTTAGCGTGGCTCTTTAGTTAGCCTTTGAGAGCACACTAACTTAGTGTAGTGACATAGCTTTTGTGTGGATAGAAACTATATCAACTAGAATTATGGTAGGTGGCTTGCAATTTTAGTAGGCTAGTGCAACACTTGCTTCGCAAATTGTCTAACCAGTTTGCTAAGTGTTATTGTAGAAAGTTTTATTAGGCTATTCACCCCCATCTAGCCATTAGGACTTTTCATAAGCTGTAGAATTATAAGCCACACAAGAATTATAAGCTACAGATTTCAACGGTTCCTAACTAAAATAGTCAAAGCACAAGCATTTGTCACAACTAAAATAAGCTAGCTGCAAAATTATAAGTTGCACAAGAATTATAAACTGTAGATTTTTTCAATGGTTCCTAACTAAAATAATCAAGACACAAGCATTTGTCATATCAAGAACTGTTGTGTCTTTGCAAAAATTTCTTGAATCTCCTCTATTTTGAGCTGGATCATCACAACTCATGCGCGATTGTTGGCCTCTGCATCTCTTTTTCTTGTACTCATCAGAAGTCCAGTATTTGGCAAGCAAGGCCCAAACTACCCCGTTGCACCACTCCACCCGACAAGTTAAGTACTGTTCTTCTGTTAGTTCAATGGTGCGGGCTCGAGTATCATCGCAGTCTTTGTTATTTCTATGACACCATTTCTTGACAGCCTCCAAACGGACTTGGTACATCATATTAGTTACTCTCTTGACTAGATAGTTCTCTAGATTTTTTGCAGCACGTGCCCTATGCCGTGGATGAGATGTAAACGTGCTCTGCATATGCAAGACAAGTCAAATAAATTACTAACCGTAAATTCTTTAATCTTGCCGAGTGAATATTCAATCCTTTTAGAATTATGCAATCAGGATGCAATGCACTGGACTGAAGAAATAAGAAATGGAGAAAAAAGATTTAAAGAATAATTTGAATAAGTTAGTGTAATACCCAGAACTCCTGCTTCACTCTTGTCGCACAGCAGATTCCTTCTTTATTCTTTTTCCAATAATAATCATTCCACGAAAATGTCGGTTTTACTTTCACAATTGTGCCTTTCTCATCATATATTCTGACGATACCTGAGTACTCTCGCTTGAGAATAGTTCCTAACTATGAGGGGTACTTGCGGCATTTAGGGTTATAATCAACATATTTGAATTGGTTGTTGTAAACAAGTCAACAAATCAATTATTTAGCTTCATATAAAAAAATATGTAGCAGAATGAAAAGAACCACAATGTTAATCACAATTGATATCATATACTTACCAATGACCTATAGGTTCCAGCTGAACTCTACCACTATGTGGAGGTATTTTGTACTTGGTCCTGCACATTTTCGATGTCCCTCTTTTTGGAGGATCCTGAGAGGACTGGTTGGAACCAATATTCAGTTGTGAGTTATCAAAGTTCACTTGTGAGTTACCACCTTCAACTCCAGCCATTTGAGAGTTAATACCATTAGCATTGCTCCTTTGTGAGTTACTAGAAGCATCTCCAACCATTTGAGAGTTAAGACCATTAGCATTGCTCCTTTGTGAGTTACCAGAAACATCTCCAACCATTTGAGAGTTAAGACCATTAGAACTGATCCTTTGTGAGTTACCAAAATCATCTCCAACTGTTTGAGTGTTAAGACCATTCAAACTGGTTCTTTCTAAGTTAGCACCCTCGGTCCCAACCACTTTGGGTCGACACCAAGAAGATCTTGCTCCTTGTAGAGTTACCACCATCGGGACTACATGCTAATTGGCCACCCAATGACACGGCTCCTTATGAGGTTACTAGACTTCTCACCGTCACCATTGCTTGTAACTTTGACCTGACCACAAGCAAGATTGCTCCTTTTGGTGTTACTACCTTGAGCTCTAGTCCTTCTAGTGTTAATTCTAAACTCGCTCACCATCACCAAAGACTTGCAAAGTGACCACCACCAAGATTGCTCTTTTTTGGGGTTACTAGCTTCACTCTGGTCCTTCAAGTGTTAGGTTTACTAGACCTCACACCATCAACACTACAACTGTTTGGGTGCCTCCACCCTTTGGTGCAACTGCGCTACTTGAAGACTTTTGTGTGAAGCCCATGCATCTCCTGTTTTATAAGGAAAACAATTAGTAAATTGCACATGTGTCAAGGAAAAACATATCCATAATCATGCAACAATATATGTATATATCACACTTTCTGCACATAACAAGGACAAGAAACAACACATATAATAGGTACTTCAACATAAATCTTGTAGCACTCGGTTTTAAGGATAAAACCAGATACACACCATATGTGAGCCCAGGAAGTCAAATCACACATATGGCTACAAATAAAAGTAATATCAGAAATTTTGGGGTGTGTCAAATCTTGATTAGTTCCGTAAGGCACACTAGTTGATAAGTGAATACAGAGTGCAGGTACAATTTATAAATAGTCGATAATCATTTGGATTATAAGCTGGATGGTCAGTCAGATCATAGTCATCTTCATCTTGATCCTTTTCATCATCTTCATATGTATTATCATCCTTATCTTCAGCTTCAGTATTCAATTTGGACAGAAACTCCAAGTCCTTGGGATCAGTTATCTCATCTGAAACAACTAGGGCTGCATTATCTAGCTCAATGTTCAGATCAATCACAAATGTGCCATCCAATCCCTCCTCTTGAAAAAAATGAGAATTCTTGTACTTGTGATGGCCCAGAAGCACTGGAGTCATCACTGATGCCATATGGAGGAATATAGCCATGTGGACTAACTTGATATACAACCCACCATTCAGCTAGATCTGGTCTTTTCGTACAGGCATAAGGTAGATAATAAACTTGTTTAACTTGGCTTGTCATTACAAACGGTTTGAAAACTAAAAGTCTAGCAGCATGTTTAACTTCCACCAGCCCTAAATTTTCTTTATGCTTAGTTCCACTTGGTGTTGGATCAAACCAATCACAATCAAATAAAACCATCTCTAGTGGCAAGCTTCCTTCCCATTTTATTTTTATTATGTCTTTGATGACACCATAATATCCCGTCTCATTGTTGTCGTCATCAACACAAGACACACAAACACCACTATTAACCATAGCTAAGCCTGATTTAGCTCGCTCATGCTCTTTTGATCAAAACCTATAGCCATTGACATCATAGCCCCCATAACTGGTTACCCTCAACACGGGCCTTATTCCGAACCTTCTTCTTAAGTTGTTGGATTTTCCTATAGGAAAAAACAAAACTGAGGAAAGAATTATAAAAGAAAGCCCTATATATTTTTCTGTTTCATTGTTACCTCTCAAATGGATAGTTCCAATGGGCTTGGACAGGACCTCCTAGCCGAGCCTCGTAAGGAAGATGAATAATTAGGTGATGCATTGGATTGAAGAAACTTGGTGGAAATATCTTCTCCATAGAACTACTACTTGTTGTTCTAGTGACTGTATAACCACAGTCACTGGCTAGAGTAGGGCTTGATTAGAAGTAACTTAGGATTCTTGTGTTCCCTTTATTATTGTCCTACTTAGTTACACTTTCACTTTAACTTTTCATGAGTAGATCCTTATGTGTCATCCCACTTTATTACATATCACTTACCCCCACTTTAGTCTAGTCGGTATACTAGTTAGTATATACGTGATGGTTAACTGTCACCATCTTTAACCATTGCTTCCCTATGGATAAATACGATATCCTATAATACTTCTGTGTGAAATGCTATAACGATATTTTGTGTGCTTGCGGAATTATCTACTTGAGCATAAGAAATATCAACAAACATTTCTGGCGCCGTTGTCAAGGACACAAACCTGGTAGCGACGTTAAGAAGTGTCAACAGTGGCATGCCAGGATAGATCCTCGATCATGGCTATGCTCTTGAGCAGTGCATCCTAGCGAGGGTAGGGCCATATGCAGATCGGCCTCTGTCGCTCCATCTTCATACTTTTTACCCCACACCAATCTATGACCATCACTCTATCTTGCATATATGCCTTCACCATGTCAGTGAGGCAAGCACCCCCAGGTTAGATTCATCATGGGCTAGTCAGCCTAGCCGCTCTACTTTTCCCCTCCCACTACTCATTCCTAGCCAGCACATGGGCATCTAAAAGTTTGTTGGACACCGTTCCTCCACTACCACCATCATGCGAGCACCAGCAAGACGGTGTGTGCTCTCTTCCTTCCTCATGGTTGCACACTCCACCGCCGTCGCATGCCTCACCCTTGTCGTTCCCGTCCCCAACCACCACATTTGGCCAAGCTGAGGGTAGGCCGCGCCTCCACGGCCATCGTGGAATAGCCAGACATGACAAAGTCACCGCCGCCAAGCCCTTCTACATCGCCACCGGCGGACGACAATCTGGGCCGACGACGAGGGCAGATCAATCCAGCCCTCCAACAATGACCGTGTTTCACGCCTATCATCGACAACTCCTCCCCGTCCCGCGCGCCCACGGCCATCTCCGGGTCTGACGCAGGCACCTCTCCTCCACCACAACCTCCCTCTCCCAAATAAGCAGCACCTCTCCTCTGTCATGGCCTCCTCTCCCAAGCAGGCGCCTCCTCCTACCCTCCGCAACCTCCCTACCAGCTCTTCCCTAGAGGCCAAGGCGAGTCCGCAGGAGATGGCCGAGTTTTTATGGCGATGAGAGAAGGAAGAGGATGACATGTGGGTCCTACATGTCATTCTCTTCTAGGATGGATTTGGGGGTCTGTTTTAGGTAGTGTCGTTAGACAAAACAATAAAAAATAAGTAGCACCAAAATATGTGGATACCCAAATACAAAAGTAGGGATGACCCTATTTTAGGTATTAGTGCTAGAGATGCTCTTAGGAAATCGAAGACATCAAGATCTAGGCCGTACGTCCATGTCTTTGACTAAAAGCTAGGATATGAGAAAATAGCGAGGTAGAAATTACATTTCCATGCATTGTTGTGTTTTTTACGCCCGCACAGCCCGCCCCCGTCCGCCTTCGCCCCGCCCCACGAGTGCACTCCGCCCCGCCTCTACGCCTGCCGATCCTTCCCCTGACCCCCTCCTCTCTCTCCGACTCTCCGTGCGGGTGGCAACTCGGGAGCCCGGATAAGAGGTTGAGGATGAGCACGCACCCAGCGCGCCCTGGCCCGCCGCACCCCATCCGCCGTGCCCCTGTCCACATGGCCCCTGACGCACCCCAGCCGAACAATGTAAAACACTTGCAACGTAAGACTTAAAACAGATGAAATATTTGGAACATGTACTTGTAACATGTGTGTGAAACACATGAAACATCCAAATTAAATACTTGCAACATGAAATCACTTGCTGCAATATAAGACTGAAACAACTGAAACATTTGGAAGATACTGTTGCAACAAATGTGTGAAACATATGCAACATCCAGATAGAAAACAAATGAAACATTTTGAACAAACGCTTGCAACATGCATCTGAAACACTTGCAACATAAGCAACATGTGCAACATCCCCAGATCTACTTTTGTAACGTCAAGATAAAACAATTACAACATAAATTTGAAACTTTTAAAACACTTAAAACATACATATGCAACATAGGGGAGGGAAGGCCGAGCCGGTTCGTCGGGGTGGGAGCCGATGGCGAGACGCGACGCTCGAGCCCCACCAGCACCGGTCGCGCCCATCGCTCGACCGGGGAAGACCTGAGGCGCCACAGCATGTGAGCCCCAGCGGCCATGCCGGGGTCAACGGCGCGCTCGATGGCGATTGGGGGACAAATGGACGGCGAGGGAGCGAGCAACGTAGGTGACTGGGACGGGCACACTGCGTGGCCGGTGATGGGGGAATGGCACGGCGCGGCAACCCAACGAGCGCCCGGTGGGGGAACGGGGCGGACGGATGAACGGCCACGTTGCTTTGGGGACTGGCCGGATAAGCGGATGAGGGAATGAGGATTTGTTTTTTTTTTGTTTCTAAGAGAGATGGGGCCCCTTCTACGGAACCACGTCCGGACAGGAGTCACATAACGGACGTGGCGGATCGTTATCGATAAATTTGTGGGCTAAAACTCTTGTCATCATTTTCAGCGGAGGTGCAGCTGCACTGCTGTAGAGTCAATGCCATGATGGCTATGCTGTTGATCAGCCCTGTTCGCTTGTAAGTTATGAGAGTAGTATTTTTCTCTCACAACAAATCAGCCCTATAAATCAGTCGTAGCAGCAATAAGTCCTGCCGAACAGGACCATCGGCGAATGGATCATCTCCTAGCATTCAATCAACTAGCAGACTGCAGCCTGCAGACTACGGAGTACCAACGACCACGACATTGCGGCGCCACAAAGCCATTAACGTTGGTGTTGGTGCCGCCGTTACACTTGCGATGGTGACGACGATATCCATCGAACTAGTGGCGCCCTCCGGCCGACGACCACGGCCGTGCCGGCGGTGTACGTGTTCGGGGACTCGCTCCTGGACGTGGGCAACAACAGCTACCTGCCGGGGGCGGACGTCCCCCGGGCCAGCATGCCCTACTACGGCGTCGACTTCCCCGGCGGCGCCAGACCCACTGGAAGGTTCAGCAACGGCTACAACGTCGCCGACTTGGTTGGTATGTACTCTCTCTCGATCGACGGCGCGCTGGAGTTGTTTATTTGTTTCTGGCTGTGTGTACTTGGTGGTATGCGCGACGACTGGCTAGCACGGGGGAGCTCGAGCTGACGCCTGACGGACATGAATGGGTGCAGCGAAGGCTATGGGGTTCAAGAGGAGCCCGCCGGCGTACCTGTCGCTCTCGCGGCGCTCCAGCCGACGCCATCGTCTCGTCGCCAGGGGCATCGGCCGACTGAACTATGCTTCTGGAGAAGCTGGGATTCTCGACTCCACTGTAAGTTATCATTCAGCTTTCAGCATATATAATGTGTCGCTGCAGAGGGGAAAAAAACCTGTTAATTTCTGTGAATCTTGCGTACCTTAACTGTGCAGCCGATCGAGTAGTAGCTGCTAGCAGCCACAAAGTTCAGATCACACAAATCTGTAAAAAAAAGCTAAATTAATTACATGAGTTATCTTTCGGCATGATCAGAGTGATTTCGTCCACGCATGTACTCCTAGTTGCATACTTGCATCCGCGAGCATGGTCAGACTTCAGAGATCATATCTTTCGGGTCAAACTTAACCAACTCATGCTTCATGCATGTCCAAGGAACCGATGGAGACAGAGAGACAGATATATCTCAACGCTGACTTTGAGCACATGTGACTTTGACATCATCGCTAGCCGTACAATTTGCTCGGACCACCATCTTGTTTAGTTCCCTAAAATTCACTCCATATCCCATCGAATGTTTGACATATGTATTGAATGTTAAATATAGACTAAAAAATAACTAATTGCACAGTTTGCGACTAATTTGCGAGACAAATCTTTTAAGTCTAATTAGTCTATGATTTGACAGTGTGATGCTACAGGACACATGTGCTAATGACGAATTAATTAGGCTTAATAAATTTATCTCGTAGATTACTGACAGATTATGTAATTTGTTTTTTTTATTAGTATCCGAACACCACATACGACACCCTCATGTGATACCACTCTAAAATTTTATACCCTGGATTTAAATAAGGTCTTAGATAATTTGAACTGTATTTGCATATCTAGTTCGCCGGGAAGAACATCCCGTTGTCAAAGCAAGTGCGCAACTTCGATGCGACCAAGGCTCAGATGGTACTAAAACTGGGTGCCACCACGGCGAAGCACCGGCCTGCTCTCCAAATCGCTCTTCCTCATCGGCATCGGCACCAACGAAATAGCAAACAATGGCCAGATGCAGAGCCACGCCGTCGTCGCCGCCTTCTACTCCGACCTCATCTCCAACTACTCAGGCACCATCACAGTAAAACTCAAATTCCTGAGTTTTTTTATTTCCAGCTAAACATATGACATTTATTAAAACAAGATGACTGATAACAAATTTATTTCGTTAAAAAGACGGTAACAATTTATAATTTCACGCAGGGGTTGTACGGGATGGGTGCGAGGAAGTTTGCCAGTAGAGCGCCTGTAGACCCCGACGTAAGGATGAAAACGGAACGAAAATATCCCGAACCGAACCGCATCGTTTTCTATATTTAATCCGATCGAATCCGCATTTTCTTGTCCGACTTTACCGTTTTCGCTTTCGCATTTGAGATGTTTCGTATTTCAAATGTAAAAGTAGAAAACGGTTTACACATTTTTCGACCGTTTTCTATTTTTCTACTTTTAATTTGAAATATTCCGAATTCAAAATTCGGTTTAAACAGAATTTGGCCAACTGCATAGGTCATACAGCCCAATTATAGGCTGCTCACCACGCAGCTGCGTTCTTTCTACTGGTGGCTAGCTGCCCTCTCTTATAGACGGCGCCCAGCCTCATCTCTCTTATTATGTATTTGGTCGTGCACTTGTTTAATGCTATGCACTTGAACTAGATCATGCACTTGTTAGTTGTGAATTTGTTATGTATTTGGTCGTGCACTTGTTTAATGCTATGCACTGTGGGTCGGTATTTCGTATTGAATTTTCGTATATCGATCGTGTTCGACATAATTCCGCTCGAATTGGTTCGTTTCTGAAATTATAGATATTCCGTAAGTTCGTGTTCGTTTTCGTGTCCGACTTGTCTGCTTTTGCTTTCGCTTTCGTATTTTAAATGTAAAAGTAGAAAACGGTTGAGGAGTTTTTCGACCGAGTTCGACCGTTTTCATCCTTACCCCGACGGGCGCGTGCGACGACGGCGCCGACACGCTCAGATCTCTCCTGGCGAGCCTCGGCTCCGGCGATGACCACCGCCTGGACGGCCTGACCTACTCCCCCGGCGACCTGTACGGCCTGATGCGGGCGATCATAGCCGACCCGCCGGCGGCAGGGTTTGCCGACGTGGACAGCGCGTGCTGCGGCGGCGGGCGGCTCGGGGCACAGAGCGTCTGCGGCCAGCCGAACTCGACGCTGTGCGGCGACCGCCGGCGCCACCATCTTCTGGGACTACGGCCATCCCACGCAGCGCGTCGCGGAGGTCATCGCGTCGGCGTTCTACGATGGCCCAGAGCAGTTCACCGCGCCGGTCAACTTCGAGCAGCTGGTCCGGGCATGAGCGCGTCGGCAGCAGCAAACACACGAGCGTGATGATATGATTATAGTAATTTAGTACACGAGTGCTTTGTTCATCGTCACTTTGTCAAGATGTTGCAGATTATTTGTTGTCAATATACCAAGTTGAGTAAATAAAGTTGTACAATGTATTATAGAGGAGGCACCGCCCGTGCATGCGTCTCCCTCTCCTCCAACTCTGACATGTGGGTCTGCTTGTCCCGTACCCTCCTCCCAAACGGCAAGACTGACACTGCCCCAAGTCTCCCCGTAACTCAACAAATCACTGCGCACACATCCCAAATCAAATACGTTATACTCGTAATTAAGGTGAGACAACAACTACACAAATTTGCGGTGGCCCACTAGTACATGATGATGATATGGTATCAGCGGTTAACCGCCAAATGTGCTAAAAAATGAGTATGTTTGAAAACTGTATTGGGCCCGCCTAATTAACGGAGCACAGCCTTTTGCGGTTTTGCCATACCATTGGCCCAGTGAGTAATCCTTGCGAGCCCGCGCGGTGTCTGGGTTAAATCTTGGGCCTCTTGGGCAACTGGCGTAGTGATGGGCCGGGCCAGCAGCCGGGAACGTCTTTGGAATTCGTGGCGGAGGAAAATTATCCGGGATCCATGCGGTTTGGAGATCGGCAAAACGATCACTGCCGACTGCATATGTACGTCATCACAGGCACATGGATGAACATTCAAAGTGCTCTCTGTGCAGTGTTGTGGACTCCCGAAAACACTTGTATCCTTTGCACCATGTCTAAATGCGTCTGGACATTGGTTGACTAATATGTTACTGAACATCCCACCAATGTTCAGGAACTTGATGCAAGAAGAAGCTAGATCTTTACGTACGTCGATAGAGACGTTGAAGCATGAGGATCTGGTACGGGTTCTAATTAATTACAGTGGGCATCTTGGTATGCTTGCAGGAAGGCTATCCACAACAATATATTTTAGAGCCCGTTATCTACTACTTTCCTTTTCCTGAACTCATTCATCTTTCATCTCACGATGGTTGAAGGAAAGAATCTAGCGCAAGTGCAGCAAGGTCATGCACAACAAGCCGGTTGCCCTGTGAAGTGATGAACTTTTCTATCATTTTTTTTTTGCGATATACACAGAAAAAATCATGATTAAAATAATGCATAGATCATTATGAATGTGTCACCGACGGCACTCCGGTGACTGCATCTGAAGAAGAGGAGCAGCAAGGTGCAGGCGCTCCCGAAGAAGCTAGAGATGAAGGCCTAATCTCTGAAGACGTATCCTCTACTGGGCTGGCGGCAAAACGAGTGGCGCGAACCAAGAAGAAGAACCCAAAAACTGGAGAGACTTGACTTGGTCGTGAACTCGGAACCGTGCCTTGTCGGCGGCGGCGGCGGCGAGTCTGGCGATTTGCCGGAGCTCGAGACACTACTACATAAACGACGTTCTGTAGGGACGGCTGAAGACTATTTTTATTGGGATGATTTGGTCAGTCGCTTCTATTAAATCGTCTCTACAAATCATATATTTATAGAGGTAGTTTTCAGGCCACCTCTATAAATTTGTAATGCCTGTTTGTAGGGGCGGTTCAGTCTAAAACTGCCCCTATAGTACGTTTTTCCGTAAAAAATTCAAATTTACAATTCAAATTCGACCAGAACACTGTTTGTTTCCGCGTATTTTATCTAGCGTTCACGTTACCGAACGCCCCGCGACCAACGTGAGCGAGGAAAGCGAGATAATCCCGCCGAACGCCCCGCGACCAACGTTCTGAACCGCGTTCGCTCAAGAGTATTATATAAACTACAAGTACAAGAGTATTATATAAATTACGATTACAAATCCAATTCACAAGAATATATACAATCCATCATTAAATAGACATAATTCACAAAATAAAACCAATGTCAAATTCAATAAACATTGTTATCAACGTCCTAGAGCTAGCCTTTCAGTCTCACAAAGGTGTTGGTACTGAGGATTTCTACCTAAGTCAGACTCTCGGTCATGGTAGGTGCCTTTGGCGTGTACAATCTGGTCCAATATAAAGTTGTAAAAGTCGTCGACGAGCTCTAAGAGTTGGTCATCCTTGTATGGGTTTCTTTTTATTTCTTTCTCTTCTTTCCACTACAAGAGAACAAGTTTCGGTTTAGTATTTCATACCATGTACGAAATTTTTATACTACGGGTGAAAAGGTTCAAATTTATCCTTAAGGGGTGTCTCCTGTAGACACCGGTGTTACTCATCATAGAACATATATAGTATCCACAATATACACTTTCAGGCTTCTGCTTGGGGCACTGTGTGTTTTGCATATAAAAATGTTAAGTAATGCTTTTGGCAGCCACATAATGGAGTACTGAAGAAGTAAGTTACACTTACCACACATAGTGTTTTTATAGCCAGCTTTTTCTTTCTTACTGGATCATGCCTTCCGTGATATTTAGTGACATAGAATCTAAATGCCCTGTTCGAATTATTTTAGCAAATACAACTTGTTAGCATTCAAAAGTGAATGTTACAAGTATGTATACAAACATATAAGCTAATGAGGATTGTCGATATGTATACGTCTTGAGAATCGATATGAAGTCTTTGTATGTCACCGGGTCCCTATCTATTGAATCAAAAACCTATGCCATGCTTCTCCCGACATCGACGCCTATACAAATCCAGTGGTTGCTCATGGATTTAATCATAGAACTAGATAAACTCTTTTGCATCGAATAAAATATATCAAACAAAGCTTTAAGTATAGAGTTGAACTTACTCGAAGTTGTATGTTAGCCATATAGTAGAGTGCTGTTGGAGAATTTTGAAAGCCAGGGCAATGTATGCTGCAACCTTAAGGGACTCTTCCCTT